GTAATGTTTTAAGTATGAGAGGCTGCCTCAGGGCTTCCCAAGCTGTTCTCTCTAATGACCCACCAGGTGTTTGTGGTTCTCACCTTAAGGGCTAGTTGTGTGGCTCCAATCCACCCCTACACCAGGCCCCATGCCTTGCAGGCGTTACCTCTCATTGACATTTGCCTCATCTCTCTCAGCCCCGTTCTGGGGTCTCAACATACTCAGCCCTTCCCCAGGTTCTCAACACACTCCAGCTTCTCTAAAAGGCTCCTTGACCCTTTCTGGTCCCATGCACTAGTCCCCCCTGGACCTCTCCAGGCACCAGACTCACTATATATCTAGTTCCTCCCTGGGCACTGGACCGTCTTTGTCCCCACCAGGCACCAGCCTCTCTCATGCTCACTCAGCCTACCTAGGCTGGCAGACACCTCACGTCTCTCTCTCCAGCTTACCCCCAGCTCTCAGGTTCATATCAGACCCCTTTGGTCTGTCTTCCTCTGTTTCTCTAAAGCTTACACCGAGCTCTCAGGTTCGGGCAAGAGCCCTGCTGCAAGCCTGGTGTCAGGAGCTCCACTGCCTGTGGCTCCTGGGCTTAGACTTCCTGACCAGGCCATGGACTTATAACCCTCTCCTGGTCAGGTAAAGCCTTCATTAGCTCCCTTCTCCACCTGTTTCACAGGCTGCCCATGCCAGCTACTTTGCAGGCTCTCCCTCTTCTTAAACTGACAGGTGCATCCAGTGCTCTGTCACAACTTCCAAATACTCAGATGCTTGCAGTTGTTTCCAGAAAGAACTCAGGTGTAACCTGATTAATTCACCGTCCTAGATCCTCATCCCTCTAAAGTTCTAGAAGTTCCAGTGCCACAACAGACAGATGTGCTATTAAGATTTGGGGCTGGGATGGCCATCATTGATAATATCAAGCGTAAATGGGTTAAATATAAAGGCAAAGCAGTTTTCAAATCTGCCATGAAAGTCATTTAGTAGTCCTTGCAATTTGCTGCTATAGTCCTTAAGTTTCTCTTCCACTTTTCAAGGGTGAAACAAGGCCTGTCTTTTTCAGTACTGTTGCAGAACCCCATCTGTTAAAATTCAAGTTTATCCAGAAGTACACTAGCATTTTCCAACACTACCACCAATTCATTCTTAATGCAACCATAACATTTGCTTCATTTGTTACATTAGCTTCATTATTGATCACCAACCAATAGCAGTCCATGATGAATGCTGAGGCATGAGACCGTTTCAGGCTGGACATAAGGAAGAATTTCTTTACTGTCCAAGCCCCCAAGGTCTGGAACAGCCTGCCATCGGAGGTGTTTCAAGCACCTACTCTGAACACCTTCAACAGCAAATTGGATGCTTGTCTTGCTGGGAGGACCCCAGCTGACTTCCTGCCCTTTGGGCAGGGGGGCTGGACTCGATGATCTTCTGAGGTCCCTTCCAGCCCTAATGTCTATGAAATCTATGATTTTCATGTTTTATCCATGCTCTGACACCTTTGTTGTAAGTTAGATGGCATTCATTAAAGTAAGTTCTTCCACTGTATTTGAAGGTATTCTGTTTTAAAGCAGAACATCGTCAATAATGAGAAATGTTTTCACTTGGACATCTCTGCCATATTTTTGCCTCATCTTCATCTATTTCAGCAATGTTGCATTACCTGCTAGCCTCAAAGCTATCTGGGCTTTTTTGTCAGTTCTATAAGGATCTGTGTAGCAAGAACACGTGTATATATGTTTGGAACACCACCAGGAACTCTGGTGGTGTTCTCCTTGATCCTCCTGGCCAAAGGGAAGGGCTGAAGCACTAGTGGACACATCCTGTAGATCAATGCATGGCTGCGCAGATGGTGTTGCCAGCAGGGCTTTGGCTTCTTTGACCACAGGATGGTGTTTCAAGAAGAAGGATTGCTAGAAAGAGATGGGATCCACCTGACAAAGAGAGGGTAGAGCATATTTGCAGACAGGTTTTCTAATTTATTGAGGAGGGTTTTAAATTAGACTTGCCCTGAGGAATGGAGACTGAAGCCCTGAGGAAAGTGGGGAAGTGGGTAACCTGGAGGAAGCACAAGCAGGAGGGTGGAACACAGGAGGGGTTCTCATTCTTCCTGACAAAGCAGGGCATTTGGCTAGTTACCTCGGGTGTCTGTACACGAATGCACGGAGCCTGGGAAATAAGCAGGAGAAATTGGAAATCCCCACACAGTCCCAGAACTATGATGTATTGGAATAGTAGAGACTTGGTGGAATAGCTCACATGACTGGAGAAGTGTCATGGATGGGTACAAACTATGCAGGAAGGACAGGCAGGGAAGAAGAGGAGGAGGAGTTGTGATATTAAGAAAAAACTTTCTCATGAGGAGGGTAGTAACACCCTGTGACCAGACTGTGGAATAGACTCCCAGCTGAGGTGGTGCAGGCACCTACCCTGGAGATCTTCAAAAGGAGACTGGATGCAGACCTTGCTGGGGTTATCTGACCCCAGCAGTCCTGCCTGCCCGGAGCAGGGGGCTGGACCTGATGATCTCATGAGGTCCCTTGCCTCCCTAAACCTCTGTGAGTCTGTGTGGAACGGGTTACCCAGAGAGGTTGTGGAATTATCCATCCTTGGAGGTTTTTAAGACATAGTTGAACAAAGCCTTGGCTGGGGTGATGTGGTTGGGCATAGTCCTGGTTTGGGCAGGTGGTTGAACTAGATGGGCTCCTGAGGTCCCTTCCAAGCCTATTTTTCTATGATTCTCTGATTCTATATCCCTCCTCTTTGGGGGTCTCACAGTGTTTTTTAATCTGATAGGATCTCTGTTCACATTTCTTCTTTCATTTTCCTTTCCCAATTCAGGTTTCTCTTCTCCTACTTGGAGTTTTCTGTATAATTAATATTCTTTTGACCCCTTAGCCGATTGTTTTCTACATAAAGCTTTAATCAATTAAGACTGTTACATCAGCTTGAAGAATACGATAGATGGGGCTTTATGTGGGTTTCCCAAAACTATTACTTTATAAGGAAAGGATTACTTTTAGGCCTTATCCCAAGTTTCTGCCCTAGGTGGTTTCTGAATTCTGTGCAAACCTATTTATTTAGTTTCAACTTTGTACCCAAAGCCTCACTCAACCTTGATGCAAGCTAAACTTTATATACTCACATAGTGAAGATACTGTCTTTTTATAATGACAAGGCAAAACCATTCAGACATACACCTAGACTGTTTATGCGTTCTATAGAGAGAGTTCTGGGTGAGGTACAAGTCATTGAAAGATTATATAAGAGTGTCTCTAATTATGTGAGGGCATAAGTTGGCCAGGTTAGATTCACTTAGCTGTGTCAGGGTTCATTTCACTAGAGTAGGCAACTTATGCTCCCAGTTAGAAGAATGTCTCTGCTTCTAAAATCTATAGGGCAGTTTCATGGGCTTTGGTTTATATAGATACACACAATACTGTTCTTTTGTAGAAGTTTCTAAATCAGATGCCTTTTTGATAGGGTTTTTGCAATTATTTTTTTTAATTGGTCTCCAATTGCTCACCTCCAAGCAAACAGATAACTGCCTGTTAGTTACTTAGAGTAATGGTTACTTACAGTAACTGCAGTTCTTTGATATGTTTTCTCTTCATGTACTCTATGACCCACCCTCTTTCCCTGCTATGTTGGAGTCCTGCTCCTCTTAGATTTTGTAGTGGTAAAGAAATGCAGAGAACAGTCTATCTTTTATGAATTCAAGTGGTGGACAGGAGAACGTCTAGGACTAGTTTCCGTTTCACCTATTAGACTTATAATTGGACTTTGATAACTAAGCTTGTTCCTGTTGAGAACCTTGAAAGACTTAAGTCCATGAAAAACTGTTAATACAAAAGATGGGTGGCTCCTCCTTCTGGTCATTGCTTTTCTGTAACTAAATCTTACGGGTAAGATAGCAGGGTGTTACAAAATTAGATCTGTTACTGGATTATTAGGGGCTTGAGCAAGGTGGAGTAGGATTGCATTTAGTCACCTTAGTTTAGTGAAGTTACACTTACAACCATACTAACTCTGTGCAATGTTAAGCAATGTTAAAGTTAGAATGTACTGTGAGCAGTCACACATTAAGAGTTAATACAATTTCTTGTCTGCACAGCTCTGACTTGCCACAAGAGGGCTGGATAACAGGTGTGGCTAGCAGCCAGAACACCTGAGCTCTATCCCTGCTCTGGGTGTCAGGGGGAGACCTAGGAGCAGTGCATCCTGGAATGCTGGAGAACTGCAAATTGTTCATATTATCTTAATGGAGTGGACTGAAGTTACCCAAACACAAGCTAGGTAGAAACCCCAGAGTTAACCCTTGCCTGAAGTGGCATAACTTTGAGGCACTCGGAGGGTACTTAAAACAAGTTAACAAGCTTTAATGTTCAGATGCTCGCATGTTAAGTGCACTTAGTATGGTTTAAATGTAACGTGTAACTTCACCCTTCCATCACTTAAGTGGAAGAGAATCTGGCTGCTAGTGATCAAATGCAGCCCTAACAGATATTGCCGGCCAAATGATTCCAACCTTACACCTGTGGGGATGCATGCATAGAACGGGTGCTATCTATAGAAACAAAATACCTTGCTTCAAAATTATACTTAGTGTAAGGTAAATAATGTTGTTTTAAAACTCATTTACCTTCTGGAGAACTATCCTAACGCAAAGATTATTCTGTACATAGAATGTGTCGGAATCCTTGAAGAGGAGAAATTGGTGTCTTTTGTTGCATATTTAATATCTGTTTAAAATGTGCAAAATTCAAAATGCTTATTATGCCAATATGTAGCAAGAGATTTAGTTAGCAAAGTAACAAACTTTTCTTAATTTATTTTGGAAAGTTCTGTGTCAAACGTTAAGTATAATTGAAGAAATTCAGCAGATCAAATGAAAGCTTTAAGTGTTTGCATGTATTTTATTTTCAGAACCATTGACACAAAATTTGGTATTAACTATGGATAATATGCTAGAACCTATTGCATTCTGAGACAGAGGCACTCATTTTGTTACCTTTTAGGATGTGGAAAATTGAGACCCAGGCTACCTCTGCTGTGAAAGTTTTCCCTCACCCTTCTTTTGTGTACACTGCGAAGTTCCACCCAATTGCTGACTATCTGGTGGTGACAGGATGTTATGACACTGTGATTCGGGTATGGAATGCAAAAGTGAAAGAAATCTATGGTCAGCTGTTGCAGGAGTTTGAGGGTCACAAAAGCTTTATCAATACACTCTGTTTTGATACCGAAGGTATGTTCTTTTAAAATCTTAACCGTATCTCAAACAAAGAGCATAGTATACTCTTGTATACTCATAATATACTCTGAGTATGCTCAGTTTATTTAACATTAATTTAATATTAAAAAAAAAGATTCCTTTTCTTTAATAGTTACAACTGTATAACAGTGTCCTGTTTGGAGCTCGTATTAGCTAGGATGTTTATGCTTGGTTATTACCTGTAATCTGATTATGCCTAAAATGTATGAGGTGCTGCACATACATGTAGGGAGACGTAGTCCTTGACATAAGGACCAATAAGTAGACTAAAGGCAGGAAAGAAGAATACATATATAAATATAGAGTGGTCAAGGTGATGACTATTCATGTCTTGATTATGCAGGGTTTTTTTTAATAGATATATAAATTAACCCCAGTTTTCACTATACCTAGCTGCTATTAGGTAATATCTTATGAGACATCACATCAGAAGGTAGTATGGTATGAAGCAGGGACTGGCAACCTATGGTCTGCAGGCCACTTCCAGCCCATGAAGAGATTTTATCCAGCTCTCCAAGTATGCCAAAAATATGGATTGCATTGGGATCACATTTCTAGCAAGCAGCATCAAGTGTTGCCTAGACAGCAACCTCGTGCAGAGGGGACTGCTCTTGGGAACATCCAGGGATCATTTCTCCTGCCAGGCCTTGTGGAGGGGGGTCATGCAGTGCTTTGAGCCCAGTCTTGCTTTAGGGGATACTGATGACTGAGGGAAGCTGCATCACCCTGATAACTGCAGGCTTCCCAATAGGCAGCCTCCTTCCCAACTGCAGCCAGCCTTCTGTTCTTGGGTCTCCCTTGGACTAGCAGGGCTGGCAGAGTTGGTGCCTAAGACTGAGGGTGGGGACCTGGCAGCAGGTAGGTTTAGAACAGGAAAGGAAGTGAGTGCAGGCAGTGGGTTGGGGTGCTTATTTGCATGGCCAGATGCAGTATTCAGGCCTGCCATAGAACTGAGCTGTGTTATTTTAGCCCTGTTAATGAAAGATTGCCAACACGCGCTATAAAACAGGGAGGTTGTTGTGGGAGAAACAAACAGTTGGCATGTCAAGGATACTGTTAGGTGTCACACAGTTGGCATATTGTAGGAAAAATAGAAAAAAGTGATAAAATAAGTGGTGAATTACACAGTGTGCTGAAAAAGAAGCAAGAAATGTGAATACGATGTAATGGTGGAGGGTTCAGTGATTGTGACAGTATGGTCAGGGCAATAAGCAAGGAAAATCTTAATTGCTACCTGTTTGGACTGGAGGAGTAAATACAAGATGCATATTAAGGATGCCAAAAAGGAGGATGCAGTAGTTAAGTTGGAAAAAGATCTGGGGTTGAATGAAAGCTATAGGTGATATAAATGATAGCCCTATAGGAATAGAAAGAAAATATAAGGCAGGATTTGAACATGAGCCCTTAGAGTTCATATGTGTGAAAGGGAAGGAGAAAGGTTGCATTCCAAAATGACTAATATTTTATTGATCAGGGAAACGGGAGAATGGTAAACTTTTCAGCAGTATCAGAGAATGGAGGAAACTTAGCTTTTGGGAGAAGAGCTAAGAATTCAATTTTGGCAATCCAAAGTCTAAGTTGTCATGACATCCAAAAGGAGGTGTTGTGGAGAGATGCTAAAATGTGGATGTGAAAGCTGAAGCTATGCCATTGAATGAGATTTCTGGAAGATGGGATTGTATATATTTTGGAATCTGAGTTTTCGAATAGCAATTTCACTAACATATAGCTGGGTCGTTTTAGGAGTAGCCATGGCAACTCCTTAAAAAACAAAGAAAGAAAAATTCCAAGTGCATTATATACAGCAATGTATACTTTCGGAGCAACTGTTGGAAGGACAGCAGTTGGAGATCAGTTTGCCTTTATTCTTGCCTAGGTTGGCAAGAATTCTAAAGATAAGCACTAGGAGTCTGATCTTAAAGTCCATTGAAGTGGTAAGACTCTGCTTGGTTTTAGCAGTGTCTGTTTTGGTTCCTAGAAGATGAATACTAGTAAGAAATTTAAATAAAGTAAGCTTGACATTTGAACAATACCAGATTTTTAATCTGTTTTGACTTTTGTGATGTGCTTTAAGAAAAAAATTAGGTTTATCATCTACCTTGTAGCATGAGAAGAAAATGGAAATAAAGCATTACCATTCAAATACTAGCCACAATTCAGTTCCTGTTACCACATAGGTATAACATACCATTTATTGTAATTCAGTTCATCATACATGTGTATGGAAATTGCCACAAAACTGTTTGTGGCACAGATAAAGCTAGAGATTTTCTAAGTATATTTAATTTGGAAGTTTTCTTCAGTTTATATGCTTCCTGTTTTTCATTTAGTATTGTTTAAAAGTATTTCTTGCTTATATTATGTGAAATTATTGTTTTTTCAGGACTTTACATGTTCTCAGGAGATAGCTCGGGCCTCATTATAATTTGGAATACTTTTGTCAAAGGAAATTCTCAACATCCAGTCCAGCATTGGAGTATTATGAAGGTATATACAGATTTTTCATTAGCAAGATTAGGTTTTATGAAAACCAGCTTCAAATTTAGTCATCCGACTTGTTTGATTACGTTTCCTTATATATTTTTATGTGGGTGGAAAGTGAATTCCCTTAAAATGTCTTGTTAATGCTTTGCTGATAGAACATGCTGTGATTCATGTTAGGGATTTCTAGATTTGTTACATTTTTAGATATGGTCCTGTTAGTAGAGGATATAGACATTTTTTTTCCTAGCAACTTATACAACAAGTTTAAAGAGACTTGGTAGCATTGTACTTGAGCTCCATAATGCATTGTGTTTATTTTCTGTCATAGAAAGGCTGAAAATAAGAAACTACATATTTTGTCAAAGTACCATTACTTGTAACTGTATGGCTAATGTTTTATCAACCTCTTAATAACCCTGTTTCTCAGGATTCTGCAGTTATAATAGGGTCTGTCATATGGCTGTGAACATTTGATGACTTGGAATACAGTGCCTGTGAAGAAATTATTTGCCCTTAACCCATAAAGTTAAGAAGAAAAAAATGCAAGAAGGAACAAAATATAGATAAAAAATAAAATACAAAGAGCTTTCTTTAACTGTATCTTCCATTTTCAATATTAAAGTATTAGTGTTACATTGTGATAAACTTCAGTTTCTCTCATTGTAGGAAGTAAACGATGATGATATGAAAGGGGTTCCAATAAATCATTTGGAGGTACATCCAAATGGAAGGCGCTTATTAATCCATGCCAAAGATAGTACTCTGCGAATTATGGATCTCAGAATGTAAGTTTCCTGTGGTCAATACATAGGTTTGTGTGCTTCAAGATTGACTATGCATGGCAATTACTTGTTCAAAATTATTGAATATATACTTGAGAAGAAGAAAGATGGTCTGATAGAATGCTAGACTAGAGCTTGGGAGATCTGGATTTTTTAGCGTGCTCTGTTACTGCTTTGTGCATGACCTAAGGCAAATCATCTAGGGCAGAATTTCTTGAAATGCCTAGGTGACTTGGCAGAATAAGTCTTATTGAAAGTGAATCAGACTTAGGTTGGTGAGGGCCACCTGACTTTTGAAAATAGACCTTAGGATCCCAAGTCACTTCCATATTTTTTTTGGCAATTGTTTTTAATTTCTATGCAATTTAATTTGTCTTTTGTGAAATGGAGATGATATCACTTCTTTGTATTGTAAGGGCCTTATAAAGAAAAGTGTAATAAAGATTAAGTTCTCAGATATGATAATGGGATACATAGCAGTACATTGAATAAATGGCTAGATATTTAAATCTATTGTTTGATAAATTGTCTTCCCCTTTGTCTTTTGCAATTTAAGATAGCATTTTATTCATAGAGAAGTTAAACTGTATATATAAGGCTTAACATTACAGTGTGACAGGATTGTTTGGGGTTATGATGTCTTGGGCTATAATATTTTGACCTACTGAAACCCTTTGTTTCTCTTACCACCTGCTCTTTGAAGTAGGTGGTAAATCCTTGGAAAGGTCAGAGCTCAGACACTGAGCTTTGCATTGCTGCTTTGCAGTTGCTCCTTTATTATTATTGCTTCTATATTACTACAGTTCCTGATGTTTGTAAGGGGGAATAGTTGGGGATAAGAAAGGTTAGGTCATGGTTTCCCAACCTCCTACTGGATCCACTGGTAGTGAATGAAACTTAAACAGGGAAATCACCCAACCAGAGTTTAGTCACTGCTGGCAAACATGCTGTAATATCACCAGAGCAACTGTATTATTTTTCTGAATCTCTGCCTTTTTAATATAAGTGAAAGTCTCTGGCTATTGTGACCATTATGGAAGATTAACAAAACTGAATATAATCAGGGCATGCAGGTGTCCATGAATTTGCAGAGAACCTGGATCATTTCCTGAGAGGTATGCATTGCCACACTCAACTTAGTGAGGGATTCATTGAAATGCCTCACAATGATCTTTTAAAATGTTGATATTAGCTCTTTCATTCCTTGCATAAAGAAGGAGAGGAGGGCATCACAGATGCGCACAACTTTCTGTGAGTGACCCCCAATACTAAAAGAGTTCTTAATTGTCCCCTCCTCCTTTCTTTCTTGATAACACCACCATCCTGTCTGTCATTCAAGCTTGTGACCTGGGCATCATCTTCCATTCAACCTTCACTCAGTATATGCACATACAGGCTGTTTTGTAGGTATTTTCTGCAAAGTATCTCTAAAGCATGGCCATTCCTATTCATCTACACAGCAAGATGTGTGTTGCATGATTACTGCAACATGCCTTTGATGAATATAAACTTGCTTATCTGATATCCCTGCAAAATGCTGCTTTAAAGATTATTTTCCAACACTGATGCAAAATGTTTGCATTCCTGTGCTGGCCAAATTCCATCAAACAGAAAAAAATATGTATATCAGCTTATAGGCTCTCTTGACCTAATTCCAGCGTATGTATCTCTCACTGTGTATCAGGTATGTTACCTCCTACCTCTGATTGGCCCGTGATTCCAGCCTCGTTTGAATTTTTAACAATAATTTTCATACTTTCTCCCATGCTGTCATGCTTGGGAGAAGCTCCCTATAAATATTGGTAGGGCTACCTCATTATGCTCATATCCCTCTTTCAGACTCCCCTTTGCCTTAACGTGTGCAAAAAGAAACTTTAATAGTTGTTGGGCTGCTGATTTATTCAGTCCATTGCCCATCAACTTAATCATCATCGTCTCATTGGGTGCAGGCACATGATGTGTTTATTGGTCTCAATTTACTCTGGAAGAAGAGTGGAGGAGACACATTAAGTACAGTATTTACTTCCAAGGAAATGCTGTTTTTTGTTTTTAAAGTTACTTCTGAGGAACTATCAGGTTACTTTTAAGAAACCCATTTTCAATCTTGGGTAGCCATCTGCTCTGTGCTAACTGGCTTCTCTGCTACCTAGTGGCCAAGTGCTGTAATAGCACCTACTTCAGGCAGCCAGGTTGAGAGATCTGATTATGTGCTGTCTCCTTACCCTGGAGTAAATTTACTGCAGGATAAATTCTGGAGTAAATTACTCCAGAATAAACATGCGGTGTGTCTGTCTCAGCTGTTTCTTTATACTTTCCATCTGTATCCATTTTTTTTGCCTTGGATGTCTGCTTTAGATATGAGATTAGTAAAGTAGTATTTATCCTGGGGGAAAAATTCCTAAATGGGACATAAAATTTTTGTGTTATGAAAGTAACTTCCACACTTAGAGACTATTCTTTATTTTTAGCTTGGCCTCAAAGAAATACATAGGTGCCACAAATTACAGAGAAAAGATTCATAGTACCTTTACACCATGTGGGACATTTCTTTTCTCTGGAAGTGAAGATGGAAAAGCATATGTTTGGAATCCAGAAACAGGTAACCAGTTATTTTATAGTAGTAAAATACAGTAAATTCAGTAGTAAACTACTGGAGTCTGAAGCTGTCCAGGGGAGTTTAATAATTATTTTTCAAAGTTTGTTTTCTTGTTGTGGGTAAGTAACATGGTATGAAATAAAAATTCAGGATCACGTCCAAGTCCCAAAATCTAAGCCTCAGCTTCTAAATTAATGTGGTTGCTTAGATCGTCCAGAGTTTAACAATCTTTTATTAGAAACCGAATAAATCCCAGTCAAAGTTGTTATCTTGGTATCTAGTAGGAATTGAGCACTACAAATTTTTCCCTTTCTCGTTAGTTGTAATATCCATATGTGTTACGGAAGTCCTTTTGCACACTGATTAAGTACTGTGGTCTAACATTCACTTAAGTCACTTAGTGCGTGTATTGATTTCACTGGACTCTGAAGCAGGCACATATGGAAAGTTGTTTTGTCTGCATACACAATTGACTGTTCAAAGGCTGTTAGTAAGTAGGCAAATGATCCATCTGAGTGTTGGGACACTAGGCTTGCTTATAAATTATCCTCCAACCTGTAATTTCCTCATAACCACCAAATTCCATGGAATCCTGCTAGACGTTCAGAAAAAGCCCAAGTAAGTCTGAATTTTAAGTATTTGTTATCCTGTAAGTTACAACAGGTATTATACCAGACAGAGACAAAATTAAAGCACATTACATTAAAAATGGTTTTGATGATATTCCATTGTCATTTTTTCTTTATGATATAGATTTTTAAAATATTGAATAAAAAACAAGAACATGTCTATGTTGAAGTTTTTTCAAAGCATCATCAACTAGATTCAAAATCCACATGTATATTACTATAACGTTTGTCCAATACCTATTGAAAATAGATATGCATAATGAGAGAGTTTGAAAATAAAAACCTGAACCTACAAATGCTTATACGAGTGCTTACCATTACCTATTTACGTCCTGCCCTTGATGTTAGGATCAGAGCTAAATTTTACTTCAAAAGTTACAGAATAATGTTGTCACGAACTTCTATTTTCCACTGGGCAACATTTTACGATAGAAATCCTTGAGTAAAATAACAAGTTTCTGTCTGGAGAAACACAAGAACAAAAAGTGTGGTTATATGCCGTTTCAGTGTTTTGGGCTTTTTAAAAGTAAATTAATGTTTAAGTCATAGAGCACATTTAAATTCCATCTAGCAGAGAGTTTTATGTCTTGTTCTTCTTATGTTTTTGCAATGTATAGTATGTGTGTGAATATTATAAGAAGTTGCAACTTAGATCAAGTCTGTACAGTTTCATGTACTAAGAACCTTGTTTTATTTCCTAGGTGACCAAGTAGCCATATATTCTGACCTCTCCTTCACATCTCCACTTCGAGATGTCGCTTTTCATCCACATGAACACATGGTTTCATTTTGTGCTTTCGGGCAAAACCAGCCAATACTTGTTTATATTTATGATTACAAAGGTACTGTAGACAGTTTCTTGCATAAGTACCTAAGTGTCTATGTTTCTAGAAGTGATTTGCACAGGTAGTTCTTCTCTCTTCTAAAACAATGTCATAACTATGCTAACATCTTCATACCAGCTTAAGATCAATTCAGAATTGGCATTTTGTTTATCTTGATCTTGCAAGTCTGAATTTTAAACCTCTTATTAGAACCTGTTCTAGATGATGCCTGCAAGAACTTACATTCTATTGGTGAAGTCCTGTCAATTGATAAGGGTCAATTTAATTTTCAGACTGGGTAGTGGAACAAAGCTAACTTGCTCTTTTGAAAATTATGCAGTGTCTAGTGAAAACTTTAAAATAGAAGCTTTTTTGGTTCCCATTGTAAAAACTCAAGTTTATAGTGGGTTTCCATGCTGAGTATCAGTAGCTATGCATAGGTACCCAAAACAGGAAATACTGCTGAGTGGGAGCTGTCAATTTGTGACCTGAAAACTAAGAATCAGAAGTTTCTTTATGGAAGGTTAATAGTGGGCAGAATTCTCTTTCCTAAATTTTGTGGCAATCTGTCAACAGTTACGTTGTTTTACCTGAGGACACCGGTTTTCGTGTCATTAAGACAAAAAATGACCAGTGTGACAACACTGTGACTCTAATGTTACATTTACTTAGTTGTGTCCCCCCCCGAGTCTATATCCACTGAACTAGCTGCATTTTATGCTTATAAAATTAATGGCTAATGCAAAATACCAAAAGATTTCATTTAATCATTCTAATATTATAAAAGTCTTAGTCTGTAATAATATTCTAATATTATAAAAGCCTTTCCCCCCAACAAGAGCCAGCAGGGAGGGGAGGCAGGGGGGAGGGTGGTTACTGGTAGCCATGGCCACCGCCCCGCTGCTGCCACCCCATGCCCACAGCTGCTGTACCAGGCCTGCAGCTGTGCTGCTGAGTCTGCCAGCACCACTGGGCCTGTGTCTGCTGCTGCTGCTGTGTCTGTAGCCGCGTCCAGGCCCGGGCCCATGGCCACTGCTGGGCCCACAGGCACGGGGCAGCAGTGGCATGGGCACTACATCAGCTGCAGGGGGGAGCAGGCCTGGACCCAAAACTGCAGGGGTGTGGGAACAGACCCGAGCCCAAGCAGCAGGCGGGGGGGCGGGACGCAGGCCCGGCTCTGGAGAGGAAGGAGATATCGGGGGAGGGGGCAGAGAAACAGCTGAAGTGGTGGGGATGGGGGTGGGGGGGAGGGGAGCAGATCCAGCCCCAAAG